TTGTACAAGTAAACGTCATAATTGAAATATTTAACGAATACAAACACAAATAAATAAAAAAACATTTTCTAACACTATAATTTGACCAAGCATTTTTATCATTCGTGTTACTTCATTTAAAAAATACCCTGTATATCTATTCGCTTTCACCAAATCAACCTTAAGGTACAAAAAATAGTAATGTAGATATCTCTTTTACTTACAATGTGTTAATGACTCTATAGCTGGGAGTTACCATAAATGGAGAGCATAAATATAACGTAAGTACCTTAGGTGAATGTGTCTGTTAGAGAAAGGTTACGTCCATGAATTTATAGCACTATTTTACGCTGTGTGGATGATTACAGTTGGTGTTATCAAATTAATTTGCGCGCTAACGTTGAAACGTAGTGGGTGGTTAGTGATTTATAACAATTTTTAAATTATTTTCACCAGAAATGGTCAGTGAAACAATTTGAATTTGAGTGTGTTTTCCATAGCTTTCTTTAAAAGCAACATATGGTATTAACATAAATCTGTACCATGTAGAATAACAGTTTTACTGGTAAAATCTAGTAGATTTTTATCAAAAACACTTGGAGCTTGGTTTCGGAAAATAGTTGTTATATTTATAAAGGACCAAGTTTCCAAGAAGTTCCTGATCTTTGATATGCAATAATGGTTCAATTTTGTTAATACCTACAGTATTATATAATGTTATAATTGTGTATTAAAACTTTTTGAGAGCCATATTTAAATGATCTAGGTTCTAGGTAGTCTACTATAAAGCAATCTAGTAACTGTTAGATTACTTTAGCAACCACATTATTTAGATTAATAACATTGGATGAATATTTTTTTATCGGAGTATCGTTTTTTAAATTCTTCGTTAGCTTTAATTCTTTAATATGACCTGATATTTAAAATTTTGAATATTTTTGACTAATGAAGTGTGCAAAAGCTTGAAATATATGTGGTAGTAATTCTGTAATTCTTCTGTATTTTTATTTCGTAGTGAAGATATGATCTAAAAGTTGATATAAAAATTATTGTATCAGAAATGTCTCTAATTCTTCAATTTTATGGTTTCATAACAGCATAAATATTTTTTGTATAATACATTTCGTAGCTGTTCAAGGACAAACTTAAATTGTAAGAATATATCTTGTTCTAATTTTAACTTACTTCAAGAATATCTATGTGCTTGCATTTTTTCTATTTTATAGAAGTACCTATAGCACTTAAATGTTTGTTTCAAGAAAAGACGTGAGAGACGAAAAATATATTTTATTCACTCCAAATACGCAATACATAAAAACGATTCTTTACAAAGTCTATTTACAGCAATTAAACCTAAACTCACAAAATACACTTCAAAAATAAACTCCACATAAACATTTCAACAGAGTTGTAGAAACATATACACTGAGAGAAAAAACTTGTACTATGCAATAAGGGTTGAGTGACGAACAAATAATATTTTAAAAAATAATACGTCTATTTAACCCTGACCTTCCTGTATTGCAATATGGTACTTAATTATTTGTGAGCTATACAGAGTGATCTAAAACAAGTACAGCAATAAATCTATTAAATTTAGGTTGTTTCATATTTATTAGTTTCTTCGTACGTACAGATGTGAACAATAAAAAGTTTCCAACCTGAAAATTTTTTTGTCCACAGCTGTAGGTACTCTATAAATCGATAATATTCTGTTGCTTAGTAGTGATTTTCAATATTTTAGATCGATCTGTATAAGATGTATAACATTTATTTTAAATAAATTACAAATCAAAGACATAAAATTGGTAATTTCAACAGTTTGTCGATTGCATTTTACATTAATTCTGAGAGCAATGCTTTCATTACGTTATAATTAAAATATATTGTAACAGATCTAATTCCTTTGTACTTAAAAAATAATATAGTAAATTTATGAAGTCGTGTACTTAATATTGATATAAACCAGTACTTTTAAGGTACTGTCAAAAAGTTATTCTGAAAACGCATAAATAAAAGAAGGAAAAAATAATTGTATGCGAATTGGATGGCAAATAAATCAAATTCAAACTTTTTTACTAACAATTCGATTTTTGCAATTTTGGTACATTTTTAAAAAATTATGCAGCGCCATTGCCTTAGGCAACTTTTAAAAACTTCCTGATAAAAAAAAACATTTAACTTTTGAGCTCATAAAATATATTGAGCTATACTTTTATCTCTACATACCAAAACTGCTCAATCCAAATTTTTATTAAAAAATTAAAATTTTCGGTGGGCCATACTGTATATGTTTTCATAGAAATATCAGTACTTACAGAAATTCTAATTAGAAGCCAGCTCAAAATTTTAAATGGCTTTTAATTACATATCTAGAATTTGCGCTTATTTTTTTTAGAAGACCTCTACAGTGCTCTAATTCACCAAACACAAAATTTGAATTCGAGCGGAGAAAATAAGAAAAATTCCTGTCAAGGAACCTATGGAAATATTTCAAATTTGTCATGGTTATGCTATGTTGAAAACCTTAGTTATAGAAAAAATATTCTCTAGCTTTTTTTGCGAAAGAGGTACCTATATGAATTATTTTATATTTCCTAGGGTGCTTAGTGGAAAAGCTACCAGTACCCCGTCACAAGTTGATGCATTTTTGTTTGAATTTGATAAATAATTTTTTCATTACTGTGCGACGAATATCCTTTAAAGGAATTTAATAATTTTGATCACTCGAATTAAAATTTTGGGTTTACATAATTAGTATTGAAACACATTTATCTGTAAATCTGTTGATATTTTCATCAAGTTTGCTAATAGGATGGACTAAATTTTACCACTGATTCTACGATGAAAGTAGCCCATCTAATTTGTCGATAGAAGCTTCGTTCCCAACATAAAGGATGTTAAATTTAAGAAAATAAAATTAGTTTTAGTAATACCCCTACTACACATTGTTTTCTAATTTTGCTTGATCAATAATATCTTGGATCTCTATTATGAGGTATAGTTTCAGTTGAACTGAAAAACTAAGTGGCGTGCAAATGTTATTACAGGGGTCATTAAAAATAATATCAGGATTACAGTGATACGATGTTTGATGGGTCTACCTCTAATGGTAAGGAAGACATTGCCACTAAAACATGCCAAGAGTGTAATATGCCCTTATATTTGTTACTATTAGAGATAGATCCATGAATGTTTGAAAATGTATTATATTTAAATATGAAATAAAATTCGGTGTAATCCATTAAAAAAAAACCAAAATCTCGTTTTTTTAATCGCCCTGCACAAAACATAATACTATCATTCTATTCCTCCCGTTGTTGTTTCTTACTTAGCATGTTTAATTAAAAATAAAAAAGTTTAGAATAACTTTTTCTTGGAAATCGTGTATTTCCTGGATATGAAGCAGCAGAACTTTTTTTATTTTTTAGTACAAGAAGGATCCCTGTAGCGACATATCCATTTATCTTTTAATTTGTGTCTTTGTTTGTTCGTTTATTCATTCGTTTGTTTGTTAATTAATTTATTTATATTCACCAATCGAATCACTCAGAAAATAAAATAAATTCAAGTAATAATTTAAGTTAAAACATAAAAAATAGTAAGTAAAAGTAGTGACTTTAAAAATATGATATCTAGAATTCAAAACGACACACTATACAGTGGTGATATGTTAGCTATTAAAAAATTCTTCTATACCAATAAACTACGTAATTTATATGTCATAGTTAATATTACAACAGTGAAATATTTGCTTAAAAACTGACTATAAACTTGATAAAACCGACGATCTATTAAACCATTGGTTTTAGTATCATTACTATAGAATGTCAATGTAACTGGAAGTAATGCAACTGGGAGTAAAAATTTAAATTTGTCTATTAGCATGGAAGAATCACTATGATGCTGCAACAGATTAAATAAAAAGTTCAATGCGGCACAATTTCTTCTAAACAGTAAAAAATCAAGCTCAATCAAGGAAAACAAAATAAGCTAATCAGCACTACTTTTGGTTGTACATGTATAGTTCTAAAAAGCACATATTTTATTTCATTTATCGTTTCTATACTGCACATATATAATTTGGATAAAAAAATGCCCATATGAAAGATAATCCAATTTACTCCTCACAAATATCATACATGTACATCAATTCTAAGGTATCAATATTTGAAAAACTGTCTTGTTAACGCAAAACCCCACTGAAAATGTGAGTTCGCTATCTAACAGAACTCCCAAAGCTTTAAATTTCGTTACCATGTTATGATCAAATATTAAAGGATATGCTTATCTATGACAAAATCTGACTTTTAGGTATGTTCTATTAATAATTATTATTACCGCAGTAACATCATTTAGCGTTTTCTGTAACTTATAACACTACATACTATTGATTTCTGTACATATTTGTAGATCATCAGCAAATAATAGATGACATGATTTGGTACTGCTTAAAACAAATGAACAAATCATTTATAAATACCTATAATAAAAATGTAAGGCACTTAATTTAGAACCTTGAGGAGCTCCTAAGGTGGCAACATAGCAATCAGGTCTTGTTTTTGATTTAATTAGAGAGATCAAATGACTAGAGCAAGCAACTGCTCCGAGCTTCAATAACAAAAGAACGTGATCTATTCGATCGAATGACATTTGCATTCATTCAATTAAAACAACACTTGGTAATAGAGATACACGATATCATGTAAAATTAGAAAACAATTACCGTGCAAATTTCCAAAGAATGGTTAAAGTTTAATTTTTTAACATCAACATCCTTCATTAGTTTTCATCATGGAATTTAGTTATGACAATTATTTTTAGCAGCCACCTTGTATAAATATCTCAGTTACATTTTCACAATTTGCTACATTTTGAGATCTCGCGTAACAGTATCTTTCTTACCAACGAAATACTCGTAATTCTGAGTTCACAATCCACGGTTTTCAAAAGACGTTGACTATTTTTCAATCAGTATATATACGCATGTACATCATAGAGAACGTGATGCAACTATAAAATTATTTAGTAACCGCGGCTGCCGTTTTGCTCATCAGCGAGTCTATACTAAAAGTCTGATTGGGCAGAATGGTCGCGGACGAGCTGGCCCCCAGGTTGTGCGTTAAACTATGCCTTCTCAGATCACAGTTCCTCCTGAAGACTTTCCCACAGGCCGAACAGTTATACGGCTTGATGTCGGTGTGCGTCAAGAGGTGGGTTTTCAGGTTTGACCTCTGGTTGAAGGATCGGCTGCACACGGGGCACTTGTGGGGCGATTCCTCCATGTGGAGGATTTTGTGAACCGCCAGGGTCCTGGACTGGCAGAAGCCCTTGCCGCACTCCGTGCATTTGAAGGGTTTTTCTTTGCTGTGGATGTACCTGAAAATTGAAAATGTAATTAATTGATAATATGGGATGTGTGTGAGGTTCAAACAAGGGGATTGAGTTGAAACACATTGCTACGGGGAATCAAAGTTTAAAAATCAACTTCAGAAATTCAGTTATATTCATAGAAAACTGTTAGAAAATGATGACGTTTTAATTTTGTTTCTGTTCTGTTCTAGAACAAGAGTATTTTTCATACAGTTCTTCCTTATTAATTTAAATGGATAAATAATATCGCCACTTATCTTTGAAAATTTATTTATATCAATTGAACAAATTATACAAATAAAACTAATCAACTATCATTATTTCCTTTGTTCGAAAATTTGAAACTGATGTTCCCAATTTTACAGAGGATTAAGTTTATTTCAGGCCATGGGACAAAGTATTCTCAATTATGGTGCAAGAATAATTTCTTTTGGCTTATCGTCTCAATATTAACGGAGCAAGTGAATCCTGAAATATTTTCAGAGATATTATTTTTAAAACTTGAACTTCATTCTCAATATAACCTTCAGCGTACTATTCCGCCACTGAAGTAGTGTTCCAATCTCTATATGTTTTGATGGAGATAATATCTGTCGTAGAATTGTTAAAATTGTCAAAACAGTATTTAAAAAGCATCCTGTATAGTCTTTCCAATGTGACAATTTCAAATATGCACTGTAATAAAAAGTATGGTAAAATTCCTTGAACTTTCCATGGTAACCTGTTGCCATGAAGTGTTCAAGTGAAATCCATGTAACATTTATGTAATATTAAACAAAACTTGTAAAATATATATCGATTATACATGGATTTTACTTGAACATTTCATGGCAACAGGTTGCCACGGAAAGTTCGAGAAATTTTACCATACATTTTATTACAGTGTGTAGCGATTTCTCTTGAGGTTGTAACATAAAATATACAGGGTGACAAATTTCAGGGGGTGATTCTACATGAGAAAATAATGGCAGTTTGCTTCTAAACGTATGTCCGCAAATGATTCGTTTTCCGAGATATGGGGTGTCAAAGTTTTTCTTAAAAACTGACGATTTAATTTATTGCTCTGAAACCGGTCGAGATGTGCAAATGGAATTTGGTGGGTTTTAAGAGGTAGTTATTGCGCATATTTTGACACGCAATTAAGAATTTTATGTTCGTCATTGGCGCGCGTACGGGAAATAATCTCAATTTTTTTTTAAAGAAAAAAATTGTACGCCACTAGGTTATTACAAATTAAAAATCATTTTTGAATTCCTCGTTCAATTTGTGACAAAAAATCTCTCTTGCCTTTTCTTCGTATAGGGCGCCGTTTTGATGCAAAAAAATAAAACATCGTATTTTTTATTTCTGTAATACATTACCTAGTAGGCTACAGTCAACATTTGTCTGTTAAATACGAATATTTTTAAGAAATGTCAAATTAGCGTTTTGTCATTATTAATTTATTAAGCTTTTAGTTTGCTATAACATTAGTGTTAATAAGTAATTAATTTTTCTTTTATCGAAAAGAATGGAAAATTTTACAAATGCGGAATTTATAATATCTCAGTGGCGTACCATTTTTTTCTTTAAAAAAATTGAGATTATTACCTGTACGTGCGCCAATGATGAACATAAAATTCTTAATTGCGTGTCAAAAAATGTGCAATAACTACCTCTTAAAACCCATCAAATTTCATTTGCACATCTCGACCGGTTTCAGAGCAATAAATTAAATCGTCAGTTTTTAAGAAAAACTGACACCCCATATCTCGGAAAACGAATCATTTGCGGACATATGTTAATAAGCAAACTGCCATTATTTTCTCATGTAGAATCATCCCCTGAAATTTGTCGCGCTTATTTACTAACACCCTGTATATGAAATGACAAATGCATTTAAATAAGTGTCTTGCTGTCAGCAATTTTAATGGTAGTCACAAAATGTCTTCTATGTCTTGTACGAATATACACATCAAGTATAGCATCAATTTTAAGAATACTTTTATATCAATATTTTCTTTAACTTTCAATATACTTTTTAGCAAAGTAAACTGAGGATAATGTTGTAGGTTTCGCATTCACCACCTTGTAGGAAATAAAAATAAACCATTGACATATTTTCGGACGTTTTCTTAATCTCAGTATATCATTTCAGCCATAATGTCATTAATTTTAAGAGAAGATAATGGGAAAAATGAGTAGAATACGAATATGGATTAAAATAGTATAAATGGATATTATAATGTCAAATGGTTGAATTTGTGATGTTACATCAGTATACCTTTCGTTGTCATGAAAACGAGAAAACAAAACTTAATTTGTAACTGTATTGGCACATAAGATCAATTGCTATCACCACAGTTATTACTAGTTCTGATCTGATTTAAAAAACCGAAGTATTAATATTTCAAACAATACCAACTGCACATTTCACATTCATTTAAATAATTAAGATGTTAAATATTTGAATAAAGCTTTTGAAACATTTGTTAGTAATATTTTATTTGACGTTACAAGGTACTTCTGTCAGATCAATAATTAAAAAGGTGACATTTAGACTTGACGTTTCTCGGGTTCTTGATGTTGCCATGGTAACTTTAAAACACGCGCGTTTTTAAAAGTTGGATTTAAACACTCTGGGGCGTGCTTTAAATAAGCAAAATAGGGTACCAATAAAAAAAAATGTTTAATGCATATTCACCATGAAAAAAATATTTTCCCGTTTTCGGAACCGCTCCTGACTGCTGACTCACAAAGATTTATCAAGGGTGAATCTCGACCTACTGTAATATGTGGTTATTAACCTAGCTCTTAAGGCCTTTTTAATCCGTAAGGAGCCACTTCGAATAAATACAGCTTTTTAGCTAGATGCATGAATTAATAAGATATTTTTTTACATTTCGAATGTTAGATTGTACAATTTAGCTTGTTTAAGATTGTTAACGTTTTATAGTCGAACATGAGTTTTTAGTATTACATATGTTCAATTAATTATTCAGTTTGTGTTACGTATACTTATTGTGTGAGTTATTACTTTTTAGTAAGTATGGAACTACCTATGTAAAATGCACTACGGCTAAAAAAAACTCATTCCGCAATAGCTTTGTTATTAAAGTTTTAGAATCAGCTGCACTTTTATTTTGAAACCTATTCCAAAATTCTAAACGACTGGGTAAAAAATCAACTTTGACTTCGACCTTCGAACGTTCGAAGTCTGCCGATGCGTAGGACGTCGAATTAACGGGAGTTAAGGGGTAATTTGCCTATTTTTTAAAAGGTAGAGTAATTTATTTTCGAGTTTCTGTCTTTAATAGGCCTACCGAACTTGTGGTTAAAATTAATGACATGATTGAATCACTCTGTGTTTAAGATTGTCTTACACTTTCTGTGGTTGTAGATATTTCAAAAGACAAATATTCTATATCACCTGAAACTACCGTTTCCATTTCACTTTCTACTTCATTCATACTTAACAGTAAGTTGCAATATTTTAACACTAATTTTTCTTAATATTCTTAAACGTCAAATTAATTGGTAATTATTGTTAAATTTTTTACTACCCTTTTTGCAGATTTTAAGAATATTTTGAAGCAGTTTTCAAAAAAACCTTGTTTGATACACTGTTGCAAAGTTGTTATTATTTTTTCTCCGTTTTTTTACTTTCACTATTTCAGTTTTTCCTATTTATTGAATATTTTCCTACCTGTAAAGAACGTCAAATAGATCAGTTAACAATATTTTTATTAAACAATTTTTACTAACCACAAAGCTTAACCGAAGACAGCAGGCAAATGAAAAATAAAAATACACATCACTGTACGACAAAGAAACGTAAGTCCAAGTTATTTTTAAATTTATTCACAGGTATCAAAATACCTAATAAACTCAGGAAAAACTAAAAACATACTCCAAATAAATAACTCCACCAAACTTTTGTTATTCTTCACATGCCGCAGTATTTTACTGAAGGTATATAAATTTGAACTTTTTATTGAGTGCAATCTTATTTACATAATCGATTGCAACTTCATTGAATGTCGTGGTTTTGTGCCCTGACGATTTTATTGTTACGATAGATGTACCGCAAGGTTCGGTGGTGGGTCCGCTTTTTTTTGTTCCTATTGACGATGTTACTTCTCAACTTGTAGGCGACTTATCATAAGCTGAAGATTTAAAAATTTATCAAATATTTATTAATATTTGGGCAAAACTGTCTGTTAACTAATAACTGTTTCTTAATGTCTAGACTGTTTCTTAATATCTGGACTGTCTCTTAATATTTGGACTATTAACTGTCCCTTAATACCTGGGCAATAACTGTCTCTTAATGTAAGTAAATGTCGTACATTTTTATTTTACAGGAAGCATAATTTCACAATATTCGAAGTAAGTGTATACATTGTATGTAATCGTTTAAAAATATCCAACTGGGACGATATCTCCATGTCCTCATGTATATCATCACTACCCACAGTGTGTATGATACAAATTGACGATAGATTTCAATGACATAATTATTTGTCACATTTATGTTTGACAAATGTTTGGCGAGTAACCGCATCATCTGAAGCTGGGTTAATACATTTAAACTTCACTATTTTGCTAAATTTTCAAATAAATATTTTTTGTACCAACCTGGTCTCTACTAAAAAGTCATCATCTGCTGAGATACAGACTTTTGAAAATTAAATTTACAGGTAAATGGTAACTTTTGAATGAGACTGAGTACATCTACATCGTAAAAAATATTTAATTTAATTATAAAACAAGAAGAAAAATTTAAATAGACTAGGATATAAACAAAAACATGGCTGCAGTGAAAAAAAATTATATAAATTGGTTCATTTTCACCCAAGACAGCCACTCTGATGTAGGATAAATGTGGAACAAATGCCCCAATGAAGTATGTATATGCTATATTTCAAAAAATTTCTTAATCAACAGTCAAGATGGAAAGGATATAATTTTGCCATTTAAATTATATTCACACCATTAAAAAAAATTGTAACAGGTAGGCTCCTATT